CATTTCCTTCAGCTGCTCTCAGTTTCAAAAAAGAAGTTAGGAATTGTTCTCTCAAAAAGTTGCTTGTTTTCTATGAAACCTGGAATTTAATTTGTGTTCCACATTGTACAAACAAAACAATAGCTTCTGCATTTTGAAACTGAATATAGCAAATAGCAAGTTTCTGTCCCTCTGCTCAAGCTGGTGATAATACCAGCTGATTCAGAAATCTATTGTTTGGATGCTTTATTTTTTAAGCGTATCATTGTGCTTTTTGGTGCTCCCCAGATCACTAAAATTATTATCTCCATTTATTACAGGAAATTTTAAGTGCTTTGGAACTAGACTTAGAAGCCTATACTTTAACTGGACATTAGTGAAGTGGTAGAAATCCAGACTTCTGCATAAATATTTAAAGAATTTGAAAACAATAGAACAGCTATATTGTCAAATCTTCTAGTATCTGTGATATAGGCTACAAACTTCCAAGCTCAGTTACTTAAAAAAGATTTGCTTCTGCTCCCTTCTCCCTCAAGAAAAGATGCTGAACACCTATTATATTCAATAGGAACTCCTCATTTGAGATCTTGCAAGATGCTTAAATGCCATTGTTGAAGCCACTTGATGTTTGGTAATGATGACACTATAATTCCTGAAACTTGTTACTGGCAAAAGAAACTAATAGTGGAAGTTAATATACATTTATTTATTTATTTATTTATTTATTTAATATATTTACAGAATGAGCAAAGGGAAGTTATTGATAAATTCCGATGTGGAAATGTAAATTTACTTATCGCTACAACTGTAGCTGAGGAAGGTCTGGACATCAAATAACATTGTTATTCGCTATGGCCTGGTCACCAATGAAATTGCTATGGTGCAGGTATGAGTTTCTGCATACATAACTTATTTTTAATAGTGCTTTTTTGTTTGGAATGTGCAAATGGTGAATCATATACGTGGCGTTTGGAAATGATTTTGAAAAACTTGAGGGCCAAAAGAGAAAATGCTCTTGCAACAAGGTTCATTTCCAATTGCCACCCTCAGTCTGTAGGCAATATAAAATTTGCATCCATGTTTTAGTGGTGTAGCATCCATTCAAAGTTCTACACAAACAGTAAGCTCTTTTAGTAGAAAAGGTATGAGAGTAGGATCATCAGACCAGCTGATATCAGAGGCATTTGTACCACCAGTGTATGTACACTAAAGCACCAACAGCTAAAGAGAGGTAATTATGTATCAGAATATCAGTTTGACTATGCTCTCATTTAACTCATGAGCACAAATACTTATATATTTAATATTTACATGCATGTTTATATTTTGGTGACAAAATACAGTTTATGCATTGCAATAGCTCTGAGCAGTTTTCATAGGTATCATTGATGATAATGCAGAAACACTATATGTTATTCACTCATTCTTTATCTCTTTGAGTTAAATAGAAAAAAAATACTCTTTGGGGACACTGCGTAAGGAATAATACATGTCCTCCATTATGAAACTAGGAAAAAATGTTGTGTGATGTCATAGGGAACATTCTGCTGTTTATTGTTGTATTGCTTGCAAATTGTAGGCTCGTGGCCGAGCTCGAGCTGATGAGAGCACTTATGCTCTTGTGGCTCCTAGTGGATCAGGAGCTGTTGAACGTGAAGATGTTAATATTTTCCGTGAGAAAATGATGTATAAGGCCATTCAGCGTGTCCAGAATATGCCACAGGAAGAGTATTTAAATAAGGTATTTACTACAACTCTGCACTTTCCCTTTAAAGAGGACTGATTTATATTGTATGAAATACTTTCTATTTGAAATCTACTTAGAGAAGGAAAACTTAATATTAGTTACTACATATGACTTTGATTTCTTCTGTAAGTATTTGTTTAATAATCTATGTTTTCTAATCTTTTAGAAAGGTCTGGTTTTCTATTGGTAAGGGGGGAAACACACAAGTAAGGAAAATTGACTGGAAGTCATGCTGTCAGTGAACTCAGTAAAATAACTGGAAAAGAAAACTATTGCTGTCATTCCACCATAATGTTACAGTGCTCTTACTGTTCTGTTTCTAGATTCATAATTTCCAGTTGCAAAGTATACTGGAAAAACAAATGAAGGCAAAGAGAGATCAGCGCAAGACATACAAGAAAAATCCTTCACTAGTAACATTCTTATGTAAAAATTGCCACAAACTGGTATGTTCTGGAGAAGACATACAAGTTATTGAGCACATGCATCATGTCAGTGTGAAAAAAGATTTCCAGTAAGTGTTTATGAACTACTTTTTCAGGCAGAAACAGATTTTCTTTTCAGCAAGACTGTAACAGAGCCTGTAACCCTCTAGGCCCTGGGAGGAAAAAAAAAAAAAAATTATTCCAGTATTGCCAGATCCTGTGCTATATGGAATTTACAGTTGAAGAGTTTGAACAAAATGTTTGTTCTTACCCCTGATTCAAGGCAAATAGAGTTTGAAACTCTGAAAAAAATTACAGGTTCTGTGGTAATATTAACTAGGTCACTTACTATGTAGTATGGTATGTATTCCATATTGTAAGTGGTCTTACAATTCTAACAGACCTGGGATAAGAGTTTACCTATGGCCAGGTACTCAAAAAACAAGCTGCCATGTGCTGGGCATGGACAATTGTGTAGTTAGAGGATGTTCATACTGGTGACACACCTTTTTTAGTTCTCCCAGTGATGCTTCTGATGCTATCTTGTTTGGTAAACAGAATCACAGAATATGCCAAGTTAGAAGGGACCCACAAGGATCATTAAGTCCAACTCCTGGCCCTGCACAGGATCATCTGCAGGAGTCACACCATGTGCCTGAGAGTGTCATCCAAATGTTTCTTGAACCCTGTCAGGCTTGGTGCTGTGACCACTTCCCTGGGGAGCCTGTTCCAGTGCCCAACCACCCCCTGGGGGCAGAACCTTTTTCTAGAATCCAACCTAAACCTTCCATGACACAATGTCAGACCACTCCCTTGGATCCTGTCACTGGTCACCACAGAGCAGAGATCAGTGCCTGCCCCACCACCTCCCTTCGCAAGGAAGTTTTAACTGCAGTGAGGTCTCCCCTCAGTGTCCTCTTCTCCAGGCTGAACAGACCAAGTGACCTCAGCTGCTTCTCACAGGGCTTCCCCTCAAGGCCCTTGACTGCCTTCATTGTCCTCCTTTGGACACTCTCTAACAACTGAAGTATGACCTTGCATTTTCTCCAACTCCTCCATGTACACAACAGTTACAGAGTTTATGACTTTTTAGGTTTTATATCTGACTTCAGCAATTGTAGTCACTGTGTGTTTGTATGTAACATTGAATGACCAGTGTATTCTGATGGGTGCTGTCTGACTGTTTTTCAGAAGCCTTTACCATACAAGAGAAAATAAGACACTGCAAGATAAGCATGCCGATTACCAGACAAACGGGGAAATTATATGTAAAGATTGTGGACAAGTGAGGAACATCTCATTTTCTTACTCTTATTTTGTTGTTGTCTGTATTTGTTTCTGTCTGATGATCTTGTCTATTTTATCTGAAATGTAATTTTCTTCTACTTGGCAGGCTTGGGGAAATATGATGGTTCACCGAGGCCTTGACCTACCTTGTCTGAAGATTAGAAATTTTGTGGTTGTGTTTGCAGACAAGAAAACAACAAAGCAAATTTTTAAGAAATGGGGAGAACTGCCCATTAGGTTTCCTAGCTTTGATTATGCAGCTCATTGTCCTTCAAGTGATGAAGATTAAGGCCTTAGGAAGAAAATAAAAGCCCTTTTCAACTTTTCTCTGTTCGTTAGAAGTTCCTGTGTCCTACAGAGAGTGCTGCATTGTAAACAGTGTAAGAGCTCCTGGGCATGAGGAATCCATCTCTAAGAGGAAAAGAAAGACAAGGAAAGAGAAGGACAAAGTCACACAGCTGTGTGCACAGTCTGCACTCAGATTTGCAGTGGTACTCCTGGATAAAGATGAACAAATGCATTGCAGTCATGGATATCCATGGAACAAATTCCTGTCTCTTCATTACAAAGTGACAGTACTTCAAAAGTGTGTTAGATGACCTGCTGTCAATCCCAGAACACTGAAGAGACAGCTTGAGATGTGCCATGGTGATTATTTGATGGTTTTCTTCCTTTTGAAGATAAAGTATCTCAAAAAAGGAGCCATGTAATGGTAACAGATTACCCAAGGGTTACTTCTGAATTGCTCTTACTTTGTCGGTGTTTTCCTGACTGAATTCTTCCTCTCATATTCTTAGCTGTAAGCTCACACATTTTGACAGACTGAAATTAAGTTTCCATTAGAAGACATTTCAAAAAATCAAGCCCCTAACCTGAAATTGATGAATTTAATGTCCGAGAAGCACATTGCCAAAGTGACTTCCTGTGTGTTATTTCATAGGATCGTTAGACTGGCTATATAATGATGTATGGGGTTTTTTTCCAATAAATTACTACAGTTATCTCTGCCAACTGATACTCTGATACGTTTATTCTCTTCCACTGGAAATATTTTGTCAATACTAATACCATGGTTTCACCATAGAAATTTAAAGGGTAGTGGTATTCTACTGCAAAAATAGCATAATCTGCCTTCATATTTATCTCATAGACAGATTCCCCAGCCTACCCCCCCACATTTGTAAGTGTGATATTGGACAGTGGAAGGAAGGTTTGTTGTTACAACAGTCAGCTTTGCAAATTCAGGATAAAGTGATATGTGTGCTGGCAAAGGACATGTAAACACTTCAGTAGCCCCAGGTAAAATTTGTAACTTAGAACATAGCTGAAAAGTATACCCATAAATGTTTATACCTTACAACTGTAAAAAAAATCCAGAAGTATTGAGAGTTGAGATTATATATGCAAAGTTGTTTCAAGACGCAGCTCTTCCATAGGTATTTTTGAATGATACAACTAAAACAGGAACACCACTCGGAGATAGGGACTACAATTTGAAGTGCATGTGTTTTACATTTGGGTATTGTCATATTATTCTATTCTTACCTTTCGTGCAGAGTAGAATAAATATGAAATCTTCACCAACTTCTTTATCCAGTATAATAACTGATAAACTGACATCAGTTAAAAAAAATTCTCCTCATGTAATTATTATTCTTAGAAAGTCTTATTATCTTTTTTTTATCGTATTATCTTGCCTAATACTGAAGCTTTTGGCTACTTCTAGAATATGCCAATTTAGCATTAAGTGCAGGACAAATTTTACACTTTTTAAATGTTGGTCTGAGAATGTGACTATTTAAAAATGTGGGAAATCAATAGATCACATATGTTTGTAACGCAAGAGATATTTTCTTCATATGCTCAGAATCTGATAAGATGCTATGAAATATACTAAATTAATAATTAGAATAGCCTCTCTTGGGAAATAATCATCATCCAGATAATCTGTGGATTTCTATATTAACAAGTTGTTACAGTTACATAAGTGTAACATAATACGTAGCATTTTCAAGTAATTTATTTAGTACTTTTAAAATGTAAAACCCTGGTAAAAAGATGATATAATTACATAGATTGGTGCAAGGTCTTCAATCAAATAAATTTCCATGCTGAGTAGATCTCCTGCAGTCTGAGCTTTTGATACTTCCCTGTACTAAAGCAACAAGAGTATATGCAGATGAATTTCTGCATATGTGCTACAGACCTCCAGGACAAACATGCCTGGGCTTCTTGTAGTTCACCTGTGTGCTGCTGTTATACTTCCAGTTCCTGGCGTAACTCGGCTACGTTGCCATCAAAGCTTAAAGAGTGTTTGCACAATCTCACTTCAGCATAATGTGTAATGAACCTCAAATGAATCCTGCTGGTGTGTAGGATGAGGAAGTTCCAGTCAAGTTATTGTCTCTGAGTGGGGTTGTAAAACACACCTATATCGTTCCAGGAAGTGTGAAGTTGTAAAAAACAAGCTAAATTGCTAAATTGTATCTGCTAGTTACCTCTGCATTTACTGCCTTTATGGACCCAAAGTGCTCCAGTGAGTGTGACAAATCGTGATTGCATTTTCTACTTACAGCCTTAATCTGATTGCAAATGTGGAAAGAAGAAAATCTTAGTCACTGTGAATTCGTCTGGCTATGTGTGTGGCTACTTAGGGACTGGTTCTGCTTCAGTTATATTTTCCTTGTTTTGCCTACTTTTGGTCTTATGTAATGCACAACCTGCATCTGTAAATCTCATTTCCTCACCTGTGAAATGTAAATACTTTAGTAACCTTAGAGTACTAGCATAACTCGTTGTATAGTTGCTAACCAAATTGATTTTTTTTTGGTTCCATAATTTGTCCATTTCTCCAAATGACTCACCCTCTTTCTAGCTTCCTTACACTTTTATTTATCTTACATCATGAAGTTCTGAGGTTGCAGAAGTCAGGGAATGTTTGGCTGTTGAAAGAATTGCCATTTGATTCTTCACCATAACAGTATAAACAGTCCAGAGAACAGAGTTCAGATGATAGGAGCGGTAAATCTAATGGCCAGTCTCTTCGCGAACGAAGAACCGGGGAAGGTCTTTCCACCTTCCAGCCTGCGCATTGGATTTTTTAGGTGAGACACAGTGTGCGCGGAACTGAGCCCACCCTTTAATCCTGAGGTTCATCTGCCGGGGCCAAGCACGCTTGGACGGTGGCAGCGAGGTCCTCAGGACGTAGATGGATTGC